AAAAAACAATAATAATACAAAATATTGTTCGGCAGCGCACGCTGCAAGCTGAGGAGGCATCTTCAAATTTGGCAACTACTGAGAAGCTCCGCATAGCTTCAATCCATTTATAAAACAGCGGGTGAGCGGCCTCCAACCTGGAGTCACAGAGGCATTCACATGTTTGATTGAGGGAAAACACAGACATCCAGCTGTTTCACAGACTCTGTCTCAAATATAACATCAAGGAGCCAAAAAATGAGACTACACAGACGTGCAGTTTGTGCCTAACAGTCGGCCTTTTTACAAAAAAAGAACCTTTCTGGCAGGTAATGTCAAACTTTATCAGACTACAAGATATCAAAATCCTGCCATCAGCAGAACAACTATTGTACAACAGGCTGACTTTTTAGTTCAGTAGAAAAAGGAAACATGACATCAAGAAGGGTAAATATCTGCTTTATGACAGCAAGTCACAGAAAAATGGAGAGATCACCAACATTTTTCAATAAAACATGACATTTATAGAGGGACAGACAAAAACCTGTAAGTTCCTCCCTCTCTTCAGACACAATAAAGTGTTTACTTTATTGCATTCTTTGAGAACAACACAAATATAAGGAGATTGCTCCAAGCATTGTGGTACAATTTGCACTTTTTGGAACCATCTAGCTGGTGCTAGATTCAGTTATCAGACAAAACCAAGAATCACTGAGAACATCTTAGTAAGGTGAATGTTCATCTTCTGTTATTTGTTGCTCATTTTGTACTTATTGTTTCTGTTACACTATTTGTTAAATTTTACTGTTTTTCTTGTTTAATTTTCTCAGCACTAAACAGTGTGTAACTTAAATATGACCAGAATTATGACTTTCTTGAACATCATCTCTCCGTGAATATAGTTAATGCTTAGGCCTGTCACGATAACAAAATTTGCTGGGCGATTAATTGTCTCAGAAATTATTGCGATAAACGATAATATTGTTTGAAATTTGACTGTAATTTGTGATTATTGTCAAATTTAAGAAGAAATGTTGGTAATGTGTTGTGTGTGTAGTAACTTTTTTGACCACTGGATGGCAGTATAAGACTGTTTGAACCTTAGGATGGATAGTGAGGGAGCAAGCAGCGTGTCTCTTTAATAAAATGGGAGGGAGGCCCCTTGACGTGACATGGACTGTCGCTGATTCCTGTTTTTCAGTTCTCAAAATGGCGAATGTTCGGTGTGGTTTGAGCTCTTTAGCATAGCATTTTTCACACAAAGATTTTTAATTTTAAAAAAATCAGTAAACAAGTTCTCAGCTTCATTTTGCAGAGGAAAAACAACTTTTTAGCTGAAGGCACGGGTTTCAACCATGAATTTTGGAGCTTCGACAAGACGGAGGTTTTTTTTCCGAGGTCGGTCTGTTAGCTTAGCTCATAGCTTAGCTTCTCAGCTTAGCTGCTTTTAACGATCCAAAAACGCAATTTTGGATCGTTAAAATGAATTTTAAAGAAAAGAGAAAGGGAGGGTTTCAGTGAAGAGCACTGGAGTCTGGCTTTTTTTTCATCCAGTGTCTTCAGTAGAAAGAGACACACGAAGAAACGATAAAGCCGATAAATGAAAATGAGGTAGATAATTTTCATTTATCATGCAATTAATTGATTTATTGTTTATTGTGACAAGTCTACTAAGGCTACAGCCAAAAATATATAAAGCGTAGCCATACGCTTTGTGTACAGTAAAGAATATAAGCCATTAAAGATATTTTGTACTTGTGAGCGCCACAAAGATACCCTGACGTAGCTCATTCTAGTACCTGTATAGTAGGTTTTATCTTTTGTATCCCAAATCTTTGATTTTTACAACATCCTATTTAGCATTTTCAATAAATTGTGGAAGATGTCATCATCAAAGGACACTCTTCAAAGAGAACATCACACAGCTTGACATAAAAACTGGTGTCTCCATTCCCTTTATCCACTGATGATTACAAAGAATGAAAGAAGCAAAGAACAATGAAAAAAAAAAGTAAACACAGCCCAAAAATAAAATATGTCTTTCAAAAAATAGAAGGTATACAATCTTTTATACTAAAGTACAACAATGTCACAAAATCTGCAATAACTATTGTTTTTAATCTAATAAAACAAACAAAAATTACATGTTTAGTAAAAAAAAAAAAAGTATCAGCATGGAAGCGATGATGTCCTGAATACTGCTAATGATCAGAATCCCACCAAGGGGGCACTGAGTCTCAAGCTGAATGTCCTAAAATGAGCAACTCGCAGCATTTTGGCTGTGATAGCTGTCGCCTCCTGTGTGCAGCTGTGAGCAGGACGCAGGATAAGTTGAAGTACTTTATCACTCCAGCAGTATTTAAAATAAAGTGGAGCTAAATGTTTTCATCTAACCAGAGTATAGGCAAAATAATCATAAAAAACAGAAAGAAAATAAAGTGCAACCAAGATGTACTTAAAGTAGGAACAGCAGCGCTGCTTGATGTGTTCAGAACTCAGATGGACGAGAGATGTTGATCCAATCCATTGCATCATTCACAGGAAAGTATTTTCAGTCAAAATGTCTATTTTGTGTTCGGGGGCTGAGTAACATAATAGTGTACATTTTGAAATCTGTGGTCTAGAATTGAAGGATTACGTATCTCCCGCCACCTTTCATTATGGGATCATCTTACTACGAGAAAAGTGGAAGGTACAGGTTGGTCAAACTTCATTTTTATGAGCCATCTCATGCTTCAGTTTCTCATGTGATCCGTTTGCACTTGAAGTATGGGTTGAAGATGATTCTCAGCTACTACCACATCAAACTGTAGCTCAATAATTGTAAATCTGACTGAGTTATAGTCATTTTAGTGTTTTCTAAGGCAGATTATCTGTTGTACCGGTAATCATTTTAGGTTAGTTTGACTCCAAAGGTTATTCAGCTGTAGATGTTCATCCAGTGATGACTTTAAGAGTTTCACAAAAATATATCCAGTGGTTCATGAGATGTTTTGCTAACAGACAGCATTGATTAAAATAGTTAAATGCAAGGTTTAAAAAGCAGTTCCTGTGTGGTCAGTTGGAGCTCAGAGTATGTGTTGGGGAGTCATCTCAGCTTCTATCACACCAGAACTTAACTCAATATCTTTCAAACTGTCTGTGTTTTAAGAAAACTTTGTGTTTACTAAGGTTGCTCAGCTGTGGTGGACATCTTGAATCAGGTTGACTCCAGAAGTTAATTAGCTGTTGTTGTACAACCTTCAAAAGAGTTTTAATAAAATTGGTCCACTGATTTCATGAGATAATTTGCTAAAACAGACAAACAAACAACCCCAGATTAAAAAAAAAAAAACATCACCTTCACCGTTGGCAGTGGTCAATAACTTTGCAACTTTTACACATTACCACACCGTTTGGTTTACTCTGTGATAACTTTCTATTCTGAGGTTTTTAAGGCTCTCATCATCAACACGCACACAGCAGTGGTTGAAGCTGGAGTAAAATATAATAAGCGGTGTGTGAAGCTGGTTAATTCACAAACTGTTGAAGAAATTAGCTCTCCTTTATTATCTCCTTTAGTGGCGTGTTACGCTGAACCATCATTATGGAGGACAAAGATATTCAAAAGTATCTGCACGAACCTGATACCGCCACACTCATTCAAATGGTGGATTACAGCAGGGAAATGTGTGACAGGGAAAGCAGAAGAGCAAATTTGGAAAACACTTCATTTAAAGTTTAGCTATTATTTCATTATGATTAAAACCCCTTTATTTCAAGTTCAAGTCAACTTTATTGTCGTTTTCATCCCGTGGTACGTGAGGTGGAACGAAATTATGTACACAGGCTCCCAGTTACACCCAAAAATAGCAAACTATAAAGTATAAAAAGAAACAAACATGAGTCTGTGGTGAGCAGATATGAATGAATACAGCAGCATGAGATAATTCAAGGATTCAAGGATTTTTTTCTTGTCATACCAGCTCACATTTGTATGTTTGTGTTACGAAATTCGAACTCAGGTCCCAGATCAAGAAGTCGAACCATTAACAAATAAATTAATACAAAAGAGTACAAATATATAATAAATAAAGATTTTTGTTTTAAATGACACCACCTGACACCACATGCTGCTGTTAATCAGCAGCATGAAATGATCAGCAGCATGAGATCTGCAGCATGGATAATCAGCTGCACAGATAAGTCACATGTCACCAATTAAAGTGGCATTACAGTGATTTTTTTTTTTTGCTTTGCTTTCTTACAGTGATTATTCTGATCGGGGATTTATGAGTCTAACATCTTCAGGGTAGAAGCTGTTCCTCAGTCTAGTGGTTCTACACTTAATGTTCCACAACCCTCTGCCTGAGGGGAGCGGGGCAAAAAGTGTGTGTTGGATGAGTGGGGTCCTTCATGATGCATGTGGCCCTCTTCCTTTTTCTAAACTGTGTGCTTAATTCCCCCCAACACACACAATGTAAGAGTAAATGGGAACAGTCTTGGAAATTACACAAGCGCTACACCTGTACTGAATTTTTATTTTATTTTTTTGTTAATATGATGTAGTTTTGGATAAATTACTATAAAAATGTGGTAATGAGAAAACTTCCCTGTGATAACTCAGTGAAGTTCTGCTCCTTCTGCTTCAACAAGTAGTGAGAAAAACTGCCCCATAAGTATGAAGCACAGATGGCCTTGAAAGCAACTCTTTTTGGCAATCACTTTAGGGTTCTGTTTTGATTTTGTTTAGGGTTGATAGCTCTCAACAACAAAGTAGAACACAGTCCAATCAAAAGTGCTCATCTAAAGATGGCTGATTTGTAAAACATTTGGAGTAGTGTTTAATTAAATCATGGCTGTGCTAAAATAACATAATTAAGGTTTGAATAAGGATTGATTTTGTTAAATAATCATCGACTCACTGCTTATGAAAACAGCATGAGAGGAGTGATTAATAGTTTGACAGCTTAACAATCAGTAAATAAGAGCGGTCAAGCCGCTGCGGTTGTTTATGCTTATTGAAGTGGAATGTGTGTTACCTCGTTGAAGGAAATATTGCTGTTTTTCATCTTTTGCTGTGAACTCTTCCATGTTTTCCCAAAGAAGAGCTGGTGCTTTCTATCAAACAGCGTCGCTCGCAGCTGGTAGGCCACGTCCATCCCAACTGAGACTTCCTGTGAGTACAAGATGGAGGACAGAGATCTTCAAAAAGTTGCTCCTAAACTGTCAAACCAACAAATGAGTTTGAAAATGAGAACATTTTCAACTTCAAATTTCTTTATCGTCATTTGCATCACATGTGGTACATGAGGTGGAATGAACTTGTGTACACAAATTACACCCAAAAATAGCAAAAATATAAAGTATAAAAATAAACAGTATATAAGGATCTAATATATGATAAACAAACGCTATTTTCCAGTTTAACTTTGGCCAAATTATTTTTGAAAACATTATGAAGGTGGCCATCACCCATAATCATGTTCATAAATCAAAAATTCTGAGTAAAATGGATATAAATAATAATAACGGCATCAAACAATGAGTTTAAAATACTGCAGTAAAAAAAAGATGATGGCGTTTGATTACATTTAGTTCAGTTCTATTCAATTCAATTCAATAATACTTTATTAATCACAAAAGGGAAATTATTTTGTTGTTGTAACTCGTTATCCTCATTTCATTAAGAGATGTTTTAGATGCTGATGGCTGTAGGCAGGAAGGATCTCTTGTAAAGGTCCATCCCTCAGTGGATCCTAAGAAACTGGCTGCAGATGCCGTCCGATCAGTCCACCCAGACTCGGCTGGCCTCTCGGTTCCCCTGGACTGTAGGACCGCATGAATGCCGGGCAGAACTCCTCCCAGAGCGATGGCCACCCCTCCCAGCAGTCTGCCGAGCTCCTCATAGCCGCGGACAGCCAACTGTAGGTGCTGAGGGACGATCCTGTCTTTCCGCTGTCATGAACCGTGTTTCCTGCTAGTTCCAGGATCTCAGTGGTCAGGCACTCGAGCACAGCTGGCAGGTAGATGAGAATGCATCCACAAAACATCCTTTTCAACTCATTTGAGAGTTGGGGCCATAGTTGAGATATTATTTGAGCTTTTGAGATGTTAATCAGCTGCTGTTGTTGTAGAAAACTGCCTTGTTGCCATGGTTACGCATCATAACAAATGTCCAAAACCAAAAAATTCTCAGTAAAATTCCTTCCGGCTGCACAGAGTCTGACACCAGAGGAAACAATCATCCAAAAAATGTGATTTACATCCAGAAAAAGAGGAAGTAAAGTTTCCAAAAGCAAAATCTCAGAATGAAAGTAACAGAGCTGCTCCAACATGCAGCCACCTTGAGCGGCGCAATTCTAGTATATATACAGTATATATATAGTTGAGCTTACATAAAGATTCAGAGCATGTTATGGTTTAATAGACAAGTAAAATCAAGTTAATTTACTCTAATTAAATGCAGACTCACTTTCTATTGTAAACCCTTGGTTTGTATTATAATTCATTCAAAGAAGTAACTTTAACAAGCTGTTAAATGTTTTAATTTGTCTCAACACCAACGCCTTTTCTTTGTATCATGAACAGAAGTGTTACTACAGGTGAGCGTTAACAACAGGGAGTCACCTGCGGGAGGTGAGGTGCATGGAGGCGGTTGATGCTGAGCTGGAAGCCGTGGGACGAAGTCAAATGGTTTTCCACAGCTAGTCGGGCTGTCTGACAGGACGTGGGAACCAAGCGGTTTCTCTTAAATACATCTTCCCAGCCGTCTTCTGTGCTGTTCGACTCTTCTGTGTTTATCATATCTTTAAGTTGAAGCTAAATTGAGCGATACAATAAACAAAAACAAAGGATAGTTGAGGTTTCTTGGAATTGTTTTGCTATGCGCCTAAGATTTTCAAACGCGCGGTCGCCATGTTGAATTTGGGTTGTACGATTCTCCTCGGAGGGGTGTTGAAATAAATCAGTGATTTAATTAGAAGCATTAAAAGTAAAAATATATGTTTAGATGATTTTTATTATAGTAAAAAATAAATATTTTCTCAAATACTTAAATTACTTTGGACGTAATGTCTGAATAAGCTTTCGCAATTGCTGTCTGATAGGGTCTTTCTCCGTCACTTGGTATGTTCCACCGAGCTGCATCTGTTGCTATGGTAATAGTCATTTCTTCTGCACCCGTTGCTATGCATGTTTTATTTTTCATTAATGTATGTAGCTAAACAAAACGAGATTAAATGTACCAGTACATGTCAAGTACGCAAATATAATAAAGGTGTGGTATGACCTCAACTATAGCATATTAACCATTTTTTGTCACTGAAGGAATTATCCAACGGTTTAAAGTTGGAAATATCCAAACAACCCTTGAGATTCAAGCATTTAGTAGGCTTAAAAACCTTGGGATGACTGTAAAATTTATCAAAATTGTGTTTTTGTTTGTTTTATTTTTTTGACAGATAATATATATATATATATATATATATATATATATATATATATATATATAGGTGGTGAGATTAAGTTTTTCCAGTTTTAGCTTCTAGGTGTCTGTAAAATTCAGAGTAGAATTTGTAATATTAGTTTTAACATAAATTGTCTCAATCTCATATTGTTCCATCTTTTCTAACACAGCACTTTGATCTCAGACTGCAGATGTGGTTTCTTGAACTTTTTTCAAATAAAATGAGTGCAAGAGCTTTTTCTTATCTTTCTTTTCCCTCCCACGAATGTCAAATTCCTGTCCATGGGCCTAACACCATGTTTGCTTTTAGCACTTAAGACTTTCCTTAAACCATATATTTAGGAGTGACGTGAGGTTCTTGAGGCTTACAGTAGACTGCTGGAGGTCATACATTATCTCACTTTACTGCTGTCTTTAGTCTCTCTACCCTGTTTACACATGCAGTTATTGCTGTCAATAACTTGCTATTTAATTTATTTATTTCTTTTCATAGAAAATAAATCTGGATCCATCATTTTGTGTCTTGTCCTCTCAAATTGAGCAGATGGCCACACATCTTGAGACTGGTTCTTGTTTATTTGTTGTTGTTGTTGACGTCGTCGTCGTCGTTGTTGTTGTTTTCAACTGTTGTCAACATTCTGCTGTGAAAATAAGTGAAGATTCAACACAACCTGCTGCCTTCCTTAGATAAATAACTTTTAATTATTGACATCTCATAATGTATGTTAATTAGAAGTATTTGATTAAGACTATAAGCTGGATTTATTATTTGGACTTGCTCTTTCTACTGTACAAATATAGTGCCTTGAGATGAAATGTGTTGTGAATTGATGCAATTTAAACAAACTGAACTGAACATAAATAATTTTAATGTTCATACGATGTAAGATATGATTTTTTTCATTGTTTCGTGACGTTAATATTTTATTATTTTTTTACTCTCTAAAAAACTCTTTGAATTTTAACATACGCGATAATAAATAAGCAAACAAATAAACAAAAAATATTTAGACGATCCACTAGGGGGCAGAAAACATCTCCTCTCGGCCGCCGTCGCTCAGGAAGAAGAAGAAGATGAAGGAGGAAAAAGGAAGCGCTTTTTTTTTTTTTTTTAACAAGCGGTATGTACAAACAGAAAGCAGCGAAATGTTCGGACTTCTTGAGAAAAACAAACCTGTTAAAGTTAGAGACTTTAGAGGAAACAAAAAGTATGGAGTTGCAGCCAAAGAGCTAAAGGAGTTGTTACAGAAGGGCTGCAAGTTATTACAGGTGAGCTTTGTGCTTTTAGTATTGATCGTTACTAAACCAGTCTGAGAATCTTCACCAGCATGTTACTAAACCAGATAAATACGACCATTAGTGTTGAAATTTAAACTATTTTATAAGTGTATTTGTTCATCAATAGCCAAGTTATTAAACCTGCAGAATAAACAAAGTGAGACTAAAGTGAAAGTGCATACGCAGATCTAAGTTTGGATGTTGCGTTTAATGACCAGAAGAAAAAAAGGAAATATTTCGTAGTGTATTTCAGCCTAAATGAAAAATGTATAGTGTGATATTTATTTATATATATATATATATATATATATATATATATATATATATTTATTTATATATATATATATATATATATATATATATATATATATAAATTCTGTTATGTTTTGTACCTTTGTAGCTGCCTCTCTCTGGTGCTCGTGTTTGTTTGTATGAAGATGGGACAATAGTAACAGAGGATTTCTTCCACACCCTGCCAGATAACTGTGAACTGGTTCTTCTGTCAAAAGATCAGACATGGTCTGGAGGTACATATAAACATATGCTCCTTTCATTACCTTTTGTTGCAGCGTCCTTGTTACCTTTGCCTGTTTATTCCAGTTGTTTGTGACATCGGTCACCTATTGAACACAGACAGGCATGCTGACGCCCTGATTGAAGCGGCAAAGGGACTTCTGTCAGATGAAAAATCTTCCAAGAGGCGTAAAATCCTCACCGACCTGCTACAGAATCTGGAGGACAGGGCTGAACTGGAGAGCAGGGAGGATGATGAAGACTGGTTCACTGGTACGGTACAATAACTGGACTTATAATTTGAGATATTTTGGTAATAAACAAATTAGCACATTTACACAAAGACAGGCAAAAACATTGTCTATCTTTGCCTTTTGGTGGCAGAAGAACTAAACTAACTGGAGATTTGAGTTGGTTGCAGTGGCTAAACATCTGTAGATCCAATGATTAGAATCCTCATATTTCAGATGTGGCAAACTGTGTATCAGAAACCCCAAGTCATTGTTGTGTGTGCATTCTTCAATTTAAAAAAAAGGTTACCTGAAAAACACACCCGTCTTGTTTAAATGTTCCACAAAACACACAATGTGAAACTTAAACTTGTAGCTGAAGTTTTCGGATTTCTGGGTTTTACTCCAGGTATTAATGCTCGATTTAAATCGAAGTCTGCCTACATGAAGTTCAACTGTGAAAGCAGGATACGAGGCTACATGAAGGAGGTAAAACTCACAAGGCAGCTGAGATCAAACACCTCGTTTCTGTATCAAATCCTCGTTCTGGGATATGATGTAAATGTTACCTAATTTTGTGTTTACGCGTCTGCCTTCAGGTTGATGATGCAACCAAAGCTATACAGAAAGCTAAAGTCAAAGCTGAGTTTTTCAAAGTGTCAAAGTGCCTGTTTGAAATGCTGAAAAACAGCAGGTACAACGGCATCTACTTTGACAGGACCGAAAAGGAATCGCATCGCCTCTGCACTCGGGAAGGGTGGTTTACCTGCCAGGTACAACGCAAACTCAGTCCTGATGGCATCTGCTCTGATCAGAACGACCACATACATTTTAAGCAGCGTTGCAAAGATTTGTGATTCAGTCGACTCTAAATTGGGACATTTTTGAGGCAGTTTTGTAGAAATGATCTGTTTTTGATCATCGTCATCGCTCTTCTTCAGGGATCGTTTGACAAGAAAACGTGCCAGTCGCTCCACTCCATCAACCCCTACAGCAGCCGAGAGACCAGAGTCATCTTCAGCACCTGGAATCTGGATCACAGGTCCACACTTACCTGCTGAACAGCTGTATTTAAACATGAGGATTTTATTGTTCCTTCTTTAAACGTGATGGGAGTCTTATATTCATTAAAGCTTGACGTTTCCTGCAGGATTGAAAAGAAGAGAACGATTATACCGGCTCTGCTGGATGCTCTGCAGAATCACACAAGTGCCAACATCAACTTGGACTACTTCTACCAGATGCTGTTCACCAGAGCAAACCTGAAACTGGTTCACATCGTGTGCCACAAGAAGGGAGCTCACAACCTGATGTGTGACACCGAGAAGATCTTCATGACTGCAGGCGATGCAGGCACGGCGAAACAAAAACCCAAAGTGAAAAAAAGGCGCTTGATTTGAACATTTGTTGTCTAAATTTATTTAAAAAAAAAAAAAAAAAAAGTTTTCATTTGTATGAGCTGATATGCGCTTGAACTTCTCAGTTTTCTTCAAACAAAAAAAAGGCACTTACACAAGATTTGTAATCATGAAAAACATTTATTTTTGTATACTTTGGCAGAAATGCATAATATAAAGATGATTATGAAGGCTTAACAAATGAGACATTCAGTCAGTCAAAGATGCATGCTGGTAAATATTTTACATAAATAAGGCAGTACAGTATATACAAGATCTTATTGATTTGTCAGAACAATCGGCTATATACAAAATACAACAAGTTTGAATAATTCTAGTGCAATTCCTAAACCAGGTAAGGTTTTATTTTAAAATAGTTTAACCACTACCTACTTTAAACCAGATTTTTAAATCAGAAAAAATATATTGATTGTAAATGTTCCATGTTCTAACTGAACAAAAATGTTAACTAGAATTATTAGCTGCACTGGTGTGTGTGTGTGTGTGTGCGCGTGTGTGTGTAGACGTATCTGTTGAAAAGCTGCCAGCTTGAAGATGATTTTCAGACACTTGGTGAACAAAGTTTGTTTTATGACCTCCGTCCTTATCAAGCTGTTGTAATAAACTCATTAAAGATCAGTTTTCATCACATTCATGTGGTCTGCAACCAGATTGTGTCATTCTAAATGAATTTTTAAATTGTAACTCGTATTAACCACTATTAGTAAAGCACTTTTGAAAGTTTGAAAGTTTAGTTCAGCGCAATTTGGCACCAAAAGCAACGCACCGTCCCTACAGGAGTGAAACCCTGACAATGTAACACAATATGCAACACAGGGCCACAAATATTGATAACATAACATGATACTGTAATTGTGAGATTAAAAAAAGATTTACAACTCTGAAAAAATATATATTCTTGAAAACGTTCATTTATAGTCTAAATTTAACTTTTCATTAGGGTGGCACAGCAGTTAGAGCTGATGCGTCTCAGCTTGGAGCTTTTCTGGGAGGTTTGCATGTTCTCCCTGTGCATGTGAGTTCTCTTTGAGTACGCTGCTTTACTCCCACAGACCAAAATGTGCGTTAGGCTAATTGGTAACTAAAGGCTCCAGTATACTCGCACATCCCGTCAGCCGTGTGGAAACTGTGCGCACTGTCCACAGAGGGTTGAGACTTCATACTCAAGCATCCACCCTGAGTGGCTGCAGACCAGCTCCGCAGGCAAAGGGCGTTTACCTTCGGGACAAATTGAGGTCGTCAAGTGGTCATTTGCCGACATGCCTACTGGATTGATTGACGGGTCGCAAAAAATAAAAGCGCTGGCAGCTGAGACGCAGCAGTGTTCTGTGTTTATATGTTAATAAGACGTTCTAAAAAAACGGGAGCTCTGACCCTGCAGCCCACACATCAGACCAGCCCACCAGGAAATCTCCAGACCCTCCTGCAGCTACGCCGGGCCTGATTTTAATTTGCTCATGACAAATTCCTTCAATTCTCACAATTTCAGTCATGGCATCAACGGACGAGGAAGAGATCACTTGTCTCTGGGGGGGGGGGGGGGGGGGGGCATCAAACCAGATCAGGGATGAAGAAGGTGAATTTAATACATTGGTGTTGTATATAAAACAGTGCGTCACCGGGCAGTTTATTGTGTGACAGAGTATGCGTACGTAAAAATTGAGCTTTGCACGAACATGCACTGCAGGCGTCCGCTTCGACTCTAACCCGGTACGAGCGGACTGACGTATGCGCGAGTATACTGGAGACTTTAATCATCCCTAGGCGAGTGTCTCGTTTGTCTCCATGTCCCTGTGATGGACTGGAGACTGATCCAGGGTGCCCCCCCACCTCTCGCACAGTGACTGCTGGATATCAGCACCAGTGACCCGGAAAGGAAATGCAGGCACAAATACTGGATGGACAGAACTTCTATCAAAAGTCAGAATTTCTCTTTATTCACAAACGTGTTAATGTCTGACATATCAAACTAAAACTTTAGCAGTTTTAACACTTCTAAAGCTGGTCAACTTTGATCAGAGTTTCCTTGTTTATGTGTTCAGCTCCTCACACGAGGCTTTAAGTAAGAACACAGTGGGGAGAAAAATATATTTAGAGTACCTTCATAAAATAAGGTATGTGATCGATGTGTGTGTCGTTTTGTAATGCACCTCGTCAAACCTTGTGTGGTTTGATGTGTCTATATAAAGTGCTTTGACAAGAAATCCTCCAGGCACGGCAAGTTAACATTCAGCCAGGAGGGATGAGAGTACAAGTTAAACAAGCACTTGTGTGATTCTTACACGTGGACGGATTCCTACTGCATCAGCAAACGTTCAGCGTATCAGGGCTCATGATAAAGAAAATAAATATTTGTACATTACCAAGCAGCCGTTTTCAAACCACTGAAGAACCATTTTGTTGATTATCTTTTATATACATGCGGATGAATCAAACAAAAGAAGAAAACCACCTAAACTCTGTCTGATGGATGGTTTCTTTTGAAAGTTTTTTTCCTAAGTGCAGTTTATTTTTGTTGTTGGCTTTGTTTCTATTTGGCTTCCTGTTTCGACGGCGAGTCGCTCTTTACTAAGTGCTTACTTCATCTCGCTGTGTGACGCCAAGGCCTGCCTCTTCTTCATTGCTGTCCTCTCGTGCGTAGTAATGTCGCCTTCTTTCCTTCCTTTGAACGCTGCAAGGAGCAGCGGAGGATCTTTGAGGAAAGTCCTGTGGGACAAGAGGAGTTCATTCAACATGACAGTTTCACCTCAACTCGTCCTCATGAAGGCTGAGATGAACTCATCTCAGAGTGTTGGTAAAATTGTGTAAAGCAGGTTAATTAACATTTAATGGGCTGACTCACAGCATTAGTCTCTGTGCTTTTAGACAAGCTTCATCTGCTTAAAGTCTGTCAGACTGAATTTGAAGGCATTTTGGTTCTCATCGATTGATGAACGGAAAATAAATCAGATTTGTTTGTCCAGCAAGCCACGTTAAAAAATAATTCTTTAGACTCGATGCCTGAAAAAACCTGGAGCCACTCCATTTCTAACTAATCTAATACACACTCCTCCTCACATAGAAGACCGAGGAAAGATCTGTAATGCATGCGTGCTAACATCACTAATTTTTTCATTTGTAAAAGTTGGATATTTACTTGATCAGTGTAAGTTTAATTATGACCACCCCTATTTATTTCACAGTCCCAAAGAAGTTCTAGACAGGACTAATGTTTAGACACTTTTGCAACTTGGCCTTATTTTTGCACAAACTGCATTTTCATGGTGATGGGACAGACGAAACACATGCTGCGAGGTGAGAAGAGGTTTCAGTCATTCTTTAAACAGTTTCTCTTAATAAGAGGAAAGGTTTGTCTGCTGGAGGAGGCGCCACCTTCAAGCAACGACAAACAGTCGAACGGTCGAGGTGGGCTTATCTGAGCAGGACGTGTGAAACATAAACCGACTGATATACGCAAATTAAAAAAGTGTACAAACTATGTTCACTCACGATGTGTGTAAATGTGGAGTCATTGAAAGATGAAAAGAATAAAAGATGCTTTGAATAGAAAACGAGAAAATAGGAAGATCGGTGAAGTGTAGGACACAAAAAAAAAAAAAAACTTTTTCTGAATGAAATTGTTAGAAAGTTTCTTCCCACGTGTTGAAACATTACATCCCAGTGAAGTCAATCATTTAAGTTTTTTTTTTGTTTCTTAATCGCAGTCTGATACAGTAATTTAAAAAAAATCAGCATCAGTGAAGATTTTATTCACTTTGATTTACAGGTAGTCTCGTAAACAAGAGAGACCTATAAATATGGTGTGTGTGTGTGTGTGTGTGTGTAAGATCACAAATCCCCAAATACAATGATGAATTGGCATTAGACCTCCTTATTGAATTCACTTCATATTTCTGCCAAATACCAGTTTAGGCTATTTCGCACACCTTCAGTTGTAATGGTGATCTTTTTAAATACAATAAAAATGGACCCACTGCAGCCACTGTTGAGTTCCTCAAGATTTATATTTGTTGAGTTTCTGTCTACAGATTAGACTTTATTATTATGGTTTTGAAAAGACGATGATACATTTCATGTTATTTTTCTCTACTTTTGAATGGTCCGAGGCTGATAGCGCAGTTTGTTTTTATTGATCCAACAAAGTGAAGGTTCTGTTTGGTTTGAGACAAAATGCAACCAAAAAAAGTTAACACTTTAAAAAAAAACTGACAATTTAACGAGGAAAAATAAAATTACGCAAATCTTTTTTTATTATTATTATTTTACATGTTTTTTTAAATTAGTTATATTCACTCATTTTGTTTTTGTCTTGAGACGAGGAGAGAAAAGTTACAGAACCCATGATTTAGCCTGACAGATATAGTTTATACCAGGGGTGCCCAATATGTCGATCGCGATCTACCGGTCGATTGCAAAGGCTTTATGAGTAAATCGTATGGCATTAAAAAAATAAGATGTCAGCCTATCATCCATCCAGTTTGTCACTTGATTGACATACAGGGCAGCCAGTCTGAGGCTGTTTACACAACATGTTCGGCTTTCATTTACACAACAGCACTCGTTACAAACCCCCACCACCGGAGGTGTGAAACACTCCTCAAGTGTAAAGTGGCACATGCGCAGTACAGGCGGCTACAATCAAAAGTTTTTTTGCTCTAACAACAGTTAGAATAAATGACAGAGAGCAGTTTTTGTGCTTTTTCAGCATGTAGGAGCAAAACTAATCAAATCCAGGGACCAAAGAGACTTTAGTGTGCTCATCAACTTGGATGTAGCTGTGACCACGCAGACGCTGCAGCTGAGCCCAGCATCAGGGTTGCCAGATAAAGTTAAAATGTCTTATTCACCCCCTCCTTTTCTGTGCACATGTTCAACAAACATCTTGGAATATCTTTACTCGGCACATATGACAGTTTAGGTCAAGATACTATAATTTTAAAGCCACAGTACTAAAGTTAATCATTTCTTATCTGGCAACCTGACTGATATGGAAACTGTGTTTTTGTGTAAACCTGCTCATTTTTTGTTTATTACCCAATAAATACTGAAAAAACACTAACGTTTCCAGGGGTTGTTCTCATATAAACGGGGCCTTATAGTCGGTTGATCACTTTAACTTGGGCATTTTAAAAGTAGCTCGCATGCTGAAAAAGTCTGGGCACCCCTGGTTTAAACTCATACTTCATTTGTTATTACTGCATGTTGACATTTCATGGTAACAGATTATTTAAACGTCATTGTTCCAAAAATAGAAAGAAAAAAAAAAACATCTCACCTGAACAACATCCATGTTTCCAAAGAACTGCTCCACAGGAAGGATCTGATTGCTGTCATCATCTGGGAAAAAGGTTCTGCGATTTTCTTCACAGTCCATGTGCTCAGACTCTGGTTTGTCCCAGGTGTCATTTGCTGCGCAGCTGTTGTCGTCCTCTGTCCTCAGCTCGTTCTCTTTACCGTCCTGTCCTTCAGGCTCTGGTGAAGCTGAACATCGCCTCCCGGCAGCAGACTTGAGGCATTCACAGGCGATACGGGACAATCTCTCCACAGGATCGGCTGGTTTGTCGGACCTCGCTGTTGAACTGCCATCTGTCTTTGAGCGCGCACTCCGCCTCCTTCCTGAAAGAGAAATCTGTGACAAAAAGTTAAAGAACAGAGCAGGTAACAGCAATTACCAGTGAGTCACATCTGCCTTTCACAGAAATGCATTTAAAAAAAATCAGCTGACCTCTGAGCTCCTCTTCCTCTTTCTGGATTTCAAGTTACCAAGTTGCCCAGGCATCTGAAAAAGGAACATACTGTTTAATCCCTTAAGGCCATATTTTATTACAGCAACCAGTTAGTGAAAAGAGCAGGTTTCAGTCAGCTGAGATGCAGCTGCCATAATACGAGAAGTTCTCAGGGCCACGCTAAGCAGCTATTTAGCTAAATCTTTTCACAGAGCCTCTCTGCCCGGAGCAGGACCGGATTAACTTCAATTTATTTTCCTCACGAGCTTGCCTTCAACTCACTCTTTAGGAATATGCAGCATCTCTTTTTGCAGAGCAAGCATGTCCCTAACCACCAGATAAAACTATCTTTATTGCACATTGTCTTGTTTTTAGTTGCCATTATCATTCTTTTAGTCAGGTTACAGATTTCCCTCTCTCTTTAAAAACAAATGTGTGAGGTGAAGATAAGTCAGTGATTTGTAGTTACATGACTGAAAAACAGCCTGCTGAGTAATGAGCCGAGTGTTGGGAATAAAAAGATGGATGGTGGTCCAAACATTTACACAATTGAAGTTGCTTTAGTGACGTCTTCCATCCGTCAGCGAGCCAATCCGCAGCTGAGACTTGTTTCCGTTCAACCGCAGACATTTTTCTTGATGCATGTTTACATTTCTGAGATGTCTCTTGTACCGCTGAGATAAAAACAAAATGTACGACTGTGTAGCTGCTGTGTAAAAACTACTGATTTAAGGGGCATGATACCTTGAAAAAAACAAAAACAAAAAAAAACACTACTTTGAGCTTAAGTTGCTTGGAGAAGCTCGTGTTTAGCAAAACTGAAAACAATGCCCACACATATATATATATATATATATATATATATATATATATATATATATATATTGATGATGATTGTTTCCTCTGGTATCAGATGCTGTGCAGCTGGAAGGATTTTTACTGAAACTTCTTTAGTTTTGGACATTTGTTATGATGTGTAACCATAACAAGGTGTTTTTGTACGACCAGGAGCAGCTGATCAACACCTCAAAAGTTCAAATAATATCTCAGCTACAGCCCCAAATCTCAAATGAGCTGAAAAGGAGGTGCCGTAGATGCATTCCCATCTACCTGCCGGATGTGCTCGAATGCCTGACTACTGAGATCCTGGAGCTGGCAGGAAACGTGGCTCGTGACAGCAGGACAGGATCGTCCCCCAGTGCCTGCAGCTGGCTGTCCGCAGTGACGAGTAGATCAGCAAGCTGCTGGGAGGAGTGGCCTCCGCTCAGGTTCTTGAGATGGCTCTGGGAGGAGTTCTGCCCAGCATTTGGGCGGTCCTGTTGCCTGAAGGAACCGAGAGGCCAGCCGAGTCTGGGTGAACGGATTGGACGGCATCTGCAGCCAGTTTCTTCTGATCCACTGTGGGACAGACCTTTACAAGAGATCCTTCCTACCTACGGCCATCAGTATCTATAACATCTCTTAATGAAACGAGGATAACAAGTTAAAACAACATTTAATTTCCCTCTGGGATTAATAAAGTATTTTTCAATTGAATTGAACATATGATGTCCCCACTGTGATCCATCTTACATATTAGTTTAAAAAAGATATATTAATATGGGCGGTTGTGGCTGAGTGGTTAGAGCAGTCGTCCTCCAATGCAAGAGTTGAGGGTTCAAATCCACCAGCAGTCACATGCCGAAGTGTCCCTGGGCAAGACACTGAACCCTTCATTGCCTCCGATGTGTGTCCCATCAGTGTATGAATGTGATCTAAAAGCACCAATTAGTCCCTTCAGAATAATTTGTTCAATTAGGTTTGTATAGATCTAGTAGTGTATGAATGGGTAAGTGCAGCCCATTTACCATCTAATATACTTTAATTAATAAAACAATCTCAAATGCGAAACAAGCCACATTAATGTTGGTGGATGCTTCTGATTTTATCTGAGATCAAATGATATTGAAACACAGAAAAGTGGTGAATTTTAAAAAACAAAGCTACTTTGTTAGCCCACGTATACTCCTCTAAACCAGTCATTATGTTCAAGTTCTTTCAAGAAGCATAACGATTTGCTAGGCTCTCTGAGATGTCCTCATCAGGAGTAACAGAGTTGTCCCATAGAGTGCACATCTGTTCACAGTTTACTGCAGCTCTCCAAGTCATACCTGCTAGTGAAGACAAGACTAGTGGTGTTGTCTGATTAATATGCTTTGTTGAAAACAGCGCTCAGACACAATCTGTGCTTGGCTCTGTCTCATCCCTGGGATGTTGTGCTTGACATTTCTTTTGTAATGAATTGTCAAAATAAGTCTTCCTGTCTAAGTTCATCTTTTAATCTAAAAAAAAAAAATCGATAGTGGAAAAAAAAAATCTATAATAGGAACTTTCTGCTCTGAAAAGTAGATGGTCAGACAGACTTTTTACAGCAAAAACAGACAATAAATTACAATACTATTCAAGACCCAGCGCAATAAATTAATTGGCAATTGTACAAAAATAAATAAAAACTGCAAAATATGAAACAAACTGTGCAAATAACTTAAAACTGCAAAATATGATTAAAAAATATTTTAAATGTGCACAGAAGCAGCTGTATTCAAAAAGTTGCCTTTCTAAGCAGCAACAATTTGTTTAGATTGATTTTTTTTTTTAAAACTTCATTTGATCATTTGAAATTGAAGGTTTTAATTAGGTTGTTTCTTTCTCAAAAAAAAAAATACTCTTATTTGTAGTTAAAATTTAACTAAATAAAAGCCTCGTGTGCTGTTCACTCAACATTTAAGCCACAATGTGACAGAAAGGTCTAAACCTGCAGCTAAAGTGTCATTGTCCTGACGCAGGACCCGAGGTGCAACCTGAAACTCCTGAACGCTTCTTGGCCAAACTCCTCGGCAGATATTACCAATTTAGGCTTAAATTACAACCAAACAATGGCTCAAGCCAACCAGTAAACTCTAATTTCACAAATGACACACTAAGCGGTCAACTTAACTTCCGGCTACCCTCAACAACTGCATATCATAACAATGACCAAAACATTCATGTTTATTTTTAAGGAAATTCCTCCCAGTGTAAATAATCTCTTTGTACATTTAGCTACATGCTAATTAGCTTGGAGGTATCAATGACGGTGCCTGTGGCTTCGGAAAGCCGAATACTTACCTCGCGCATCGCTTTTTGCCGCCCCAGCTTTAAGGACTTCTTGTAAAATGGACGGGCTTCGGTTGGTTGCGGACAAAGATAATTTCCAACCCGTGACAGCGGTGTCTCTTCTCGACTCCTCAGACTGAGTCGCCGCCTACTGGGTGTGTGTGTTTCCTGCTACGAGGTTCACTCGGAGGTCATTACGTGTTTTTTTTTTCCCTCTACCTGAAAACGTACCCTCCGTCTCTTTACAGGGCTCTGCTCCGTCTGGGACGTAAAATCCGGGTTTCAGCGTTATTTATTTCCTCCGTGGTTCGTTGACGCACTACGTAAAAAGAGCAACTACGTTTGTGAATACCAAACCGAAAGATGTTACTCGTCGATTCGTTGTTTTTCTAAACGGCTAACTCGGGTTTTACCAAATTCCGATGCGATTCTAAAACTTTCGTCTCGGGGAAAAGAATTATAGTGTTAAAACTCACAGTTTTAGACTATTTTTTTTTACAAACGCATATAGAATTTCCGTGTTTAGGCATACCTACATAAAATTTTGAACTTGCAATGAAGTAGTTTGAGCTTTTGTGCGCGCGTGTAAAAGTACACTACTGTCTATACGGGTTTTATTCTGGCTAAATTAAGTTCATGTTTGTGGATAAATGAGTGAAATAGTTCATGAGAAATTAAAGGTCGCAGGCAGGAAGAATAGCGCGCAAACAATATTTAAATCCGCAACATGTCCACAAGAGGACGCCAGAGGCCTGCCTCAGTTTTTGGTTGCCACAATTAAAACCGCCTCATAGATGTCATTTCTGGTTTGTGCAGTTAAGAATAATCATGTGAATAAAATGTGTTTGCTTATTATTCAACCTGTAGGGATTAAAGTGGACCAGAAAATATAATGACTTCAGAGAAGTAAATACACATATAAATAGATGCAAAGCTTTCCAATATTACCATACCATTTTATTTATAAAATACTTAAAACAGCGACAAGGCCAACCAAAGTGCTGCACAGACAGAACAACAGGTAACACACAAATCAAAATACAAAATGAAGTAAATCAGAATATAGACATAAAAACGCTGCAGATAATGACGACTAACCAGTGTGGAGCATACAGGTTCAAAACACAGATCATCTGGTGTTGAAAGCTACTGAATAGTAGTGGGTTTTTTAACGGGACTTGAAAACCGAGAGGGAGGGGGCCTGTCTGACAAGCAGAGGTAACTCGTTCCAAAGTCTTGGTCCTGCTACAGAGAAGGCCCTGTCCCCTCTGCGATTAAGACGAGTTCCTGGAACTGTGAGGAGCAACTGGTCCGCTGACCTCAGGGAACGTGGTGGGACATATGGTTGTAGCAGATCAGAGAGACGGGGGGGCAAAACTGGTCAGTGATTTGTAGACATACAGGAGTATTTTGAACTGGATTCGAAAGTGAACCGGTAACCAGTGCAGTGAGGCCAAAACTGGTGTAATGTGCTCTCTTTTGCCTGTACTGGTTTAAAATTGGGCTGCTGCATTCTGGACCAGTTGTACCTGTAGTCGTGCTATGGAGGTCTGACTGATACCAAACAGGAGCAAATTGCAGTAATCAAGCCTAGATGTAATGAATGCATGTATTACTGTCTCCAGGTTATTTTTGGACAATATGGGCTTCAGTTTAGACAGCCGCCTCAGTTGGAAGAAAACATGATTTAACAATCATGTTTACGTGACAAGTTTCAGGGAAGGGTCCATTATCACTCCCAGATTAGTGACTCTTTGTTTGTCTGACAGGGTTAGAGCGGAGAGGTCGATGCAGTGGTTTGTGATAGTGTCATTGGGAGGGAACAACATGACTTCAGACTTCTTTTCATTGAAACTTAAAAAAATTAAAGCCATCCAGTCCCTGATGTCAGCCAGGCAGTCGAGCAGAGGTTGAATAGAGCATGTGCCATTGTGTCTTAGAGGGAAGTAAATTTGACAGTCACCGGCGTAGAAGTGGAAGGGCATGTTGTATTTCCGGAAAATAGCACCAAGCGGCAGTAGGTATAAAGAGAATAGGAGGGGACCCAGGATGGACCCCTGCGGACCCCCCCATTTAAGCTCTGCCGCTGCGGAACTAAAATCCTTGATGGAGACGCAAAAGGATCTGTCAGTGAGGTAAGATCTGAACCAATTGAGGGCTGAACCTGTGATGCCCACACACATAGACAAAACTCGTCTTAAGCGCAGAGGTGACAGGGCCTTCTCTGTGGCAGGACCAAGACTTTGGAACGAGTTACCTCTGCTTGTCAGACAGGCCCCCTCCCTCTCGGTTTTCAAGTCCTGTTTAAAAACTCACTACTATTCAGTAGCTTTCAACACCAGATGATCTGTTTTGATCCTGTATGCTCCACACTGGTTTGTCGTCATTATCTGCATCGTTTTTTGTCTATATTCTGATTTACCTCATTTTGTATTTTGCTTTGTGTGTTACCTGTTGTTTTGTCTGTACAGCACTTTGGTTGGC